TTTCAGATAATAGTATTTCATAATAGAAAAACTAATTTTTAACATTAACAAGATCCCATGTTGACATAGGGTTTTGAAAATTTTTTTATTTGTTCTTTAAAAAATCTTGTCCTGCTATGCATAAATGAAATAAAATTATTCATAGTATAGGGGTTTTATAATGTAAAAAAGGGTAAGTTATATTTTGTGAATGTATAAATTAAACTTACTGAATTAGCAGATAGTATTTAAGACATTAATAATCCAGCATCTAAAAATACATTAAAACTCTATCAAATAAACAATAAGGTTTCCAGAAATGACAAGAGTTGATATATCACATTTAAAAGTTATAAAAACAAATAACAAAATTAAAAAAAAACCCTAAAACATGGTAAGAATAACATATTTGCAAGATAGATCTATGAATCTGCCTGAGAAAGCTGAAGGAGAAAAGTTAATGGTTACTGGGGTGAGTGAAGTGTGAACATGTGTGCGCATGCTCACACACACATACACACACATACACACATACACAGAGTACACTAAGGCTAAGACAGAGCTTGAATGTGAAATTGGCTTTAACTGCCAACATTAATGATTACATTTAATTGGAAGAAGCATAAACCTATTTCAGTAATAGTTTACTACATTAAGGTATTTCATAGAATATTTGGAATAATTTATAAACTTTTCCAAAGGAGAATGAGAGAGAAAGAGAGAGAGAGAGACTAATTTGAGATCTCATCCTTTATGGATGGATATATGCTGTATTTACTAGTCACATGGGAAAAATTTTGAAGATGCAGGCATAACCATGAAGTTTGTAATTAAGAAAATATTTTTAGCTATAGTTATTACTTGTGGTCACTTAACTTAAAATGCATACCCACGGAGTGCCTGGGTGGCTCGGTCAGTTAAGTGTCCTATTCTTGACTTCAGCTCAGGTCATGATTTCATGGGTCATGCAATCGAGCCCCACACAGGGCTCCCCGCTTGGCGGGGAGTCAGCTTGAGATTCTCTCTCCCTCTGCCCCTCCCCTGACTTGTGCTCTCTCTAAAAATAAATAAATCTTAAAAAAAAAATGCATATCCACAAATTGAATCATAAATGTTTCCACATTTTACCATATATATTTCAAGATTCTCAACAGTAGTTATCATTGCCGTCAAAATGCTGATAAAAGTCATTGGGAAATCTGGAAGGTCAAGCCACATGCTTGGGGATAACTTGTGTGTGTGGTTATACTTTAAAATATTAACATGTCCAGGGGCGCCTGGCTGGCTCAGTGGGTTAAGTGGTTAAGTGTATGACTCTTGGTTTTGGCTCAGGTAGTGATCTCAGGATGGCGAGATTGAGCCCCACATCAGCCTCTGTGCTCAGCATGGAGTCCACTTAGGACTCTCTCTCCCTTTCCCTTTATCCCTCCCCCACTATGTGTGCACTTGCTCTAATAAATAAATAAATCTTTAAAATATTAACATGTCTGATGTTTCAGAATCTGCCCAGTGCGTTGCTACTCATTTAAAGAAAAGGAAGGAAAGACTTCAGAAGGCCAGGACATCAATCTTACCAGGGGAGAAAAAAAGATTTCAAAGAGCATTACTTTTTAGGCATTTGAATCTAATTTTTCATACTTAACATAATTATTTAAGAAAGAAGTAATTTCAAATTGTTCTATTCCATTTTAGAAAATCTTCAGCTTTTTGACAAACCTCATAGAGGTTAAGTACATAGATTCTGGAGCCAGATTGTCTAGGCTCAAAATCCAGGGTCCCCTATTGCACTGTAACAGGGGTTGACCATTTTTATGTAAAGCCCCAGAGTGTAAATAATTTTATACATTGTGGATCACATTACAGTATCTGTTGCTCCTTTTTTTCTTAATTAATCCTTTAAAAATATAAAATTATTAGCTCAAAGGCCATACAGAACCAGATTGGTAGTTTGCTGACACCTGATCTATATAACAGAGATAATAACATGTATTTCATAGGGTTGTCAAGAGGATTAAATGAATTAATACATGTAAAGTGCTTGGAAAGTTCCTGGCACATAGTAAAGGCTATAAAAATGTTTATTATTGGGGCACCTGGGTGGCTCAGTCGGTTGGGCGTCTGCCTTCGGCTCAGGTCATGATGCCAGGTCCTGGGATCGAGTCCCGCATTGGGCTCTCTGCTCGATAGGGAGCCTGCTTCTCCCTCACACTCTCCCTCTGTGCTTTCTCTCTCAAATAAAAAAAAAACCTTAAAAAAAAAAAAGTACTTTAAAAAAAACATTTATTATTACTACTACATATTTAACCAAAATACATACTATTCCTCTATGACTTGTATGTAGCATTACTTGGTGACTTCAAATTTGGAGAAGGATTTAATTTGTCCCTCTTGGTTTATTCTAAATCACCAGAAAAAGTTTAGCATTGTACACTGATGAAACTCCAAGTGTGGCATTAAAATTGAGTGATCAGAAGGAAGAGTCAGTAATGGTCCTGAGATAGTCCCTTGCAAATCCCAGCAGGAGCATCCTTAATGAGAAAGATTCACTATGAAAATATAATAACTAAGTTACTTGAAACATTCAATTAAACACAATAACCAATTTTCTATTATTACAGTATTTCTCCCCAGCCAAAGAAATGGACAAACCTATTTTAAATCCATTTAAGTGAACATTTAATCTGTTTTATTTTTTAAACTAAGAAGAGAATAATCAGAAAGCAGAAAATATGCATAGTTAAAATGCTACAGCATTTTAATGTACCAAAGTTACACATAGGATGTATCTGCCTTAAGTATTCTCAAGAGTAATTGCATATATTTATGGAAATCACAATGTGTTATGCTAAGAATTCCAAAGAAAAAAATAACTTAAGCAATCAAGAAATAATTCACAATTTTTAGCAGACAACCTATAAATGAAAAACAAATATATAAAACTCAGCTGTTTTGTGATTTACAAGGCACAGGCTGAATAGGGCCACATATAAATATTTAAATGCAATACATACAATAAGTTTTGAACATTTTATGAAGTGTTTATATTGAAATATGGACCTTAATGAATTAAACTTTGTAACAGTGATGTACAAACATGAAAAAACACTTACTTGAGTTTTAATGCAATAAACTTTAATTGTATACTATGTTAAATACAAACAATAACCTCAGCTTATCCACAGTTTTACGGCATCCTGTAGTCCAATGTGCTTCTACATAATCTTCACACGAAAATGTAGAGTAGAATAGATGTTTATAGATTTGGAGATAATGGAAACTAAGGAAAAAGTCAGTACTTTTCTTCTAAATATTTGCATAGGTGTGAGTTACTGTAGTTTGTGGAATACCAATTAACTTAGTATCAGCAAAGTTTTAAGAAGTATTTTTATTAGTCATATATACCCCGAGCTGAAAATCTGAAATGTTTAGAGACTTAAAACAAGAAAAAATTAAAAACAAAATAGTAGTCACTTTTCTGACTTTCCCACCTCATCCTGGTCTTCCACCTCAATGAGTGCCTTTCCAATCCTTTTAGCTATCCTTGTGGCAGATAGCTCTGTATTTCCACTATCTGTAATACTCTTGTCTCTTGAATTCATCTATCTTAAACAGATGGTTTCGTTCTAAATCCCAGCACCAGCATTTACCAGTGACATTTAGCAAATAACTTCTTTAGGTCTCTGTTTCCTTGTCTATAAAACAAATAATAAAACCTACCTACCACACAAGGTTATTGTGACAAATAATGCAAAATCCAGTATGTGTAATAATATCTAGCCCCAAAATACAGTGTTCATATAGTGATAGCTATTATTATTGTTGTTATTGTTATTATAATAGTTCTGGTGGATGAGGATTTGAATTCTAATACACCCTTTCTCCAGCCTCCTAAACTATTCTCCTATCCTCCTAAACTACAGCATATAAGTATTATGTTGAAATTACTGTGTTTTCATGTCCTTTTTATATTTAAGGCAACTCTAGATTAATGAGAATCTCACTTTGTATCCTCATCAAAACAATTTATGAGAGGCTTGCAAGCTAGCTAAAATGCTGGACTACTGGATAACTTTTAATTTGCTAAATTCTAAACCACTGGGATTTTTGGACTAAGAGAAACTGAATTACAGAACTTTATTATAGTTTTAAAATGATTTCATTTTTTTATTTTTTATTTTTTTTTTAAAGATTTTATTTATTTGACAGAGAGAGACACAGCGAGAGAGGGAACACAAGCAGGGGGAGTGGGGGAGGGAGAAGCAGGCTTCTGCTGAGCAGGGAGCCCGATGCGGGGCTTGATCCCAGGACCCTGGGACCATGACCTGAGCTGAAGGCAGACGCTTAATGACTGAGCCATCCAGGCGCCCCTAAAATGATTTCATTCAAATCTCTATGACACATACACCAGTACCACAGTTACGATAACACACCTAGTATTACTCACTTACCTTTTGCCTCTTGTTTTTTTTATTTTATTTTATTTTATTTAAGATTTTATTTATTAGAGAGAGAGAGATAGCAAGAGAGAGCACAAGTGGGGAGGAGAGGGAGAAGGATAGGGGGTTCCATGCCAGGACCCTGGGACTATGACCAAGCCAAAGGCAGATGCTCAACCAATGAGCCACGCAGGCGCCCCTTGCCTCCTGTTTTTATCATTTTCACAGCTAAGGACATTTAAGATGTTTTACACATTGTATATTACAGTTGTTCTTTATATCCAATGTTTTTCAGGATTGACACCATTGCTCTATATACTGTTTTCTAGTGGTTAATTTAAAAGCTTCTATTCAGAGTTCACAATTATAACTGGTCTCTAAGTTTTGAGAACACAATTCGCATAGAGTAGATACTGAGATGTGCCTAAAATTCTAAAGAACATTTTTGTAGCAGTTTATGCTCAGGAAAGACATAGTTTGATGAGCCACAATCTATTTTAACAAAGACACATTTTAAAGAAACAAGAAGTCAGTTAAAATAATTATTGAAGAATCAGATTAATTCACTTTTATACCTCTTAATCTTAAAATTCAAGATATTCATTCAGCCAATGAAATAAAATTGATACTATGTATGAAAAGGTTCTCAAAATCACCCTCATTAATTTTTAAGTTCTCTAAGGATAAAGAATATATCTTATTTATTTACCTTGTATCACCATTGCCTAGGACAATGCCAGACTAGTGTAGGTACAGAGAGGTTCAATACACATTCACTGGATAAATTCAGCTTAATTCTGTCTCAGATAATTTACAAATGCTTGACAGTAAAACATTAAATATTATGACAACACAGCGTTATTCTTTTCAGCATAAACAAAGTACACTAGTTGGTACATTGCATACTGTGTTTTATTGACAGTGACATATAGTAAAAATTTTATGTATATATTAATTACCCATGGTCCCTTATAAATATTTAAAGTTCTTTTTCCAAGCACAATCATACTGCAAAGTTATATCATAAACTAAATCTCAGAAGACAATTTAAAAAATAAAATGCATTAAAGATATTATAAATCATGATGAAATGTTGAGATGGCTTATAAATCTGACTTTAAACATTCTAATTACAATCAAATGTAGACTTTTACCAAGAAGTTGATAATTCTGGGGAAGGAGCCCTTCTGAGGAAAGATTTAGTTTTAATATAATTAATGGTCATATTAGCATACCTGAAGTCCTATGTTCTTAAAAAGTTCATTGAGAATCCATAAATGCAAGCAGAAGATTATAAAGTCTTAGTATTCTTAGATGCACAAACATCTTTTAAAAAATTTGAAGTATTCAGTTTGCCTTAAGATACATTCCTTGAATTGAAAATTGTTGAGGTTTCCAAATACTATCTTTTCATGTCTTCACAGCCTGGATCTGATCTGGTAACAAAAACCAAACAAAAAATTATCAGTCTCCACAGGCAAAATCCATTTTCTCAAGTAATCCAAGAAAAATCTATAAAGACACTGTAGAAGCCTATGCACACACCTATTTTTTTTTTTTTTTAAAGATTTTATTTATTTGAGAGAATGAGAGAGAGAGCGTGAGAGGGGGTTGGGTCAGAGGGAGAAGCAGAAGTGGTTGCCTACGAAAGGAGAAAGAGGACCTGAGCCAAGGGACATTTTTCATACAAACTTTGGAGAACTTCTCCAAAGAACTTCTCCAAAGTTTCTTCTCCAAAGTTCTCCAAAGGGACATTTTTCATACAAACTTTGTATGAAAAATGTCCCTTGGCTCAGGCCCTCTTTCTCCTTTCATAGGCAACCACTTCTAATCCCTTAGGAGATTTACCTCTGTACCTCTAAATAATATACTTTTATCATTACTTTTTGAAATATCAGTTCCTTCAATGTAATATGAAGCTTCAGTTCTCACACACTCTACGCTGCTGCCCTGCAAGCCTCATTATGCTTCCAGCACTCCCATTCTTCTACCATAGTAATCTAGTCATCAATATGATGACTACGTACATGCTATTCACATCTGAGACAGGTTGTATCCCCCTCCCCACTATTCCTTTCTTCTACATTTTGTTTTCCCTGTTTTAATAAGTGTGCCTCATTGTCCAATCCTGCCTGTCTGCTTAGTTTTTTAAGGTACTTAATACTAATTCATTGCCATTACTCCCACACTGTTTAAACCTTTATTATTATGAAGCACATTACATAGCCTATGAATTTCACTTTCTTGAAGAATTCTCCCTTAGAGTCTTCCAAAACTCTCTAATCTGGACCAGCTGTTCTCTATGCTTGCCCAGCTATCTTCATAAGAGATCTTTCATTATCATTCCAGGATTTCAGTATCTCTCATTAACATCCTGAGGATCATTTCCACACGCTCTTATACTGGTTTTCCTGTTTTGTGGTCTCTTACTTTCTCCTCTTGGTTTATTCCCTTGTCTTTGAAGAGTATACCTTTCAATGGCTACTTTAGTAAAAGGTATAGAAAGTACATTCTTGAGACTGTGAATGGCTGAAGATGTCTTAATTCTACAGTCACAATATACTGATATTGCCTGAGCATATAATTTCATTATTTTCTCCTTGGACTTTTCCAGGCATTGCCCAATTAACTTAACAGCTTCCAAATGTTGATGTTTAGAAGTCTGATGCTATTTCTGCTTCCTTATCCTTTACATGAAACTTACTTTCTTCCCAGGAAGCTTGTAGAATCTTCCATTGTCTTCAGTGTTGAAATTAAGTAATAGCCTTGGTGTGGTAATATTTTCATTTGCTGCACTGGGCTCTCAAGAGGCCTTTCAACTAAAAACTCATCAGTTCTGGAAAATACCATTTGGTGATTTGATAAATTTTTTCCCCTCTATTTTCTCTCTTTGCTCATTCTAAAATTCCTGTTATTTGGATATTGGGCCTCCTACTTTCTTTTCTTTCCAATCTTTTTGCTGTACTTTCTGAGAGAATGCCTCTATTTTATCTTCTTTTTATTGAGTTTTCCATTTCTTCTGTTCTATTATTTTCAAGAACTTATTTTTTTTCCCCTTTGGTCCTTTTCAAGTAGTATCCCTGGTCATTTTCATGAAAGTAATACCTTTTCTTATCTCTATGATAGTTTCTTGAAATGTTCTCCCTAAAAAATTCTACTTCCTCTAACCTGCTTTTTTGGTTTGTTGATGTTCCATAATTTATAATGTTTTGGTCCTCAAATGCCTGGTGATCCTTTGCCATCTTCTCACAAGTATGAATGAACACTATAAAGCTGACTGAAATTTCAATATGTGTGTGAGGCTTGTCAAATGTGGTCTTTATTCTAGTGTAGCCAGCTACACCATTTTCTTGGGAATCTTTGGTGTTAATACTTTTAGGTCTTTTCTCTCACTGGTCTGATTCCTTAAAGATGACTTTCTATATCCTACCTACTGCCAGTGTCTTCTTGGAGAAGTAGGAGAAGGCAGAATAGGATTATACTATTTGGTATAAAACTTTCAGTTATTCCTCATTTTCAGATCAGCACTGCCACACACAGTTGTGCTTGGTATACCCTAGTCCAGAGATACTCTGTTTGACTCTCTGAAAGAATGAACCTTCAATCTTTTTGGGGGGCAAGAAAGTATAACTGTCTCTCTTTTCAGCCCCACCTCATCCTTCTTTCCACTTCCCATCAATATCTGAGCCTTTGAGGGTATCTGCATCGTAAAGTGGGATGCTTTCCAGCTTTCCTCAGTGCTAGTTTAGAATTCACCATTCTCAGGTCTGTTAAGTCATTCAACATTCATCAGACATCCAGCTTCTAAAATTTGGTTGCCATTTTTGTCACTTCCATCTTTTTTTTTTTTTGCCCTTGTAATGTCTTTATTATATGCCCTTAAAATGTCTTTAAACAAAAGCCCCCTTACTGTTAGTAAGATTTGAGAAGGGGATGAAACTAAGTATGTGCTCAGTCCTCTATCTTTCATTGGAATACCCACATGCATAAGTTTATAAAAGTCTTATTTTAAGACCTTGGAAGCATTAGCTTTTCCCATACAGATAAAGTGATAAAATGAGATTAGTCTTTTAGAAAGATTTTTTTAGAAATATCTCATTTGAAAGTTTCAGAGCTAGAAAACAACTTACACTTCTGCAATCGTTTCTGTATATTCTTTGGTGGTTTTAAAAAATACTTCATAGTCTACTCAGGGGTTCTTGTCTTTGGGTTATAATATGTATGTAATTATTGAAATACATATATAATATACATATAATATGTATGTAATTATTGAAAATCCTTCCAAAAGAGAATGGAATCATGGCACAAAATATGTCATTTAATATTTTACTCAACATTTTTTAACCTTAAAATAATAAGATTAAATTGGTGCAAAATCAACCAGAGGCTTTATTTATCATGCTAGGAAATTTCAGAATTCTGGAAGCAAAATGAAGAAATATAAATTCAGAATATCTTTCACAGTTAAATTTACATAAAAACCTTTGGCTACAGGCATGGACTAGTCTCCTGTATCTACTGCTATCTAATTTGCAAATTAGGTTTTTACCTCTTTTTAAATCCAGAGAAAGAGTCTGGAGAATCAAAATGTAAACTATTTACTATTACATAGGAAAGATGAACGAAGAATCTCCTATTCAAAACCAAGCTGATAACACTTCAATCTGTGTACTAAGTTTCCTCCTCTCCCAAATAGAGAGTAGTTAGGTAAAAGGGTAAATTTAACATTTATTGGGGTTTTTTCTTAGGCTAGGCACTTTAACACAGTGTTTCATTTAATCCATACAATTTTTGACATTTTATTTTTTAATTGTATAGGTGATGAAAATTATCTTCAAAAGAAAATAACAGAAAATTGTTAATAATTAGTTAATAAGTAGTAGAATAAATCTGCTAAACTCAAAAGCTCAAATGCTTTTTATTACTACCCTATGCTCCCTACATAAAATAGGAAAACTGTTCACAGAAAACTGCTCTAAAAGTTACATAAAATAATTTGGTAACACAAAGGCACAAAAATATTTCCAACAGTGTATCCTCCTTACAAAAAGGGAAGTAAGATACAAAGATAATGAATCAGAGAAATCAAAGACACAAAAATTGGGTAATAAAACCAGAGTTGGCAAGTGGCACTGTGATGTTGGATCGTTACTGACACCTAGTGGCCTCATTATTACAGACAAAATATACCAAAAAATGAAAAAAGGAAGCGAGAACTACAATTTCTCAACCTATTTTCAGTAGGTACTATGTTTTCATGAGCAACAGTAGGATTTTATCCATGCTATATCTTCACTGTGAGCAATAAGCACCGGGAAAATAAGAAATCAAGGCTGAACATATGCTTCTGGTGTCTTCTGTAGAACACTGCTCCTTAAACTATTTTACATGGGAATAAGTCCCATCAAATCATCAGAAGTGTAAGCCAGTTCTTTATCACCATTAGAGGTTCTCAGTTATATTTTACTTAATTGTAAAGTATGACTATAACATTCTTTGTAGTTTAATAGTAAATATCATGATATCTACATAAAAACAAAAAAAGAAATAGTCTATGCAGTTTATTAAAATACCATATTTTACTAATAACACATAAAAATATTTATCAGATGTACATTTAATACTCTGAACCAAAGAGATATTATGTCTCTTTATGTATGGTCAAGCAGGCTATTCTTAGATTCACCAGGATATGCATAAGAGAAAACAAAATTACATATATAATTGGCATTAAAAAGTTAGTATAAAAGAAATTAAATTTACAGCCACAAGACTATAACTAGAATTAATAATATTTTGTTATTCACCCTTGTTCAGGGCTGGGAGATTCCTGATAGGAATGACTCCCCCCCAGTTCTGCTCACAAATGGACATTTTTCGGCCTGACTCAGGGCCCTGTAATAAAAGGACCTACAGAACTTGGTTTCATCCACATCTATTGCTCTGTGTGGGTCACTGCTTCAATCCATTCCTGTGATTAGTAAACAATGTAATCTTAGAGGAAATGATATATCTTAATTTATTCCTTGATATGGTAAGACTGTACCAATCAATGATAGCTATTTTGATGAATAACAAAACTGCAATATACAAAACATCAATAGAATACCGGTATTTACAATACTAAACGAGTGTTAAAATTTGTGTAAACACGTATAAGTGGAGCTATACGTAGAGTTCAGCATGATTCTTAGAAGATATATTCTATTTAAGCTTATTTTTAATTATTGACAGTAAGGCCTGAAATTTGTCCCAAACTTCAAATGTGCTTCTATCACTAGATTTGACAGAAATTTGTTGCCATAAATTAAAATTATTTTCTAGAGTTGTCAAGTATATTGATTGTAAAGATGCAAATTCTTTATTTAAATAAACCCTTCAGAAAAATGTAATAGAAGTAAATGTAGCCTGTTACAAGGAGAACAGATTCTTATTAAACTTATATGAATGACTATGATTGTCATGGAAGAAAGAATACTTACTGAGACCTTTTGAATTTTGGAGGGTTCAGGTAGAAAGAAAAGTTAAATACTTTAAAATTTCTATTATTTCTGTTCTCCTTGTAACAGGACACCATTGGAAACATTAGTTATTTTATCAAGGCTTTGACTGGAATGTCATATTTGAGAGAGACATGCATAGACTCAGATATGACCAAACAGCTTTGAGGAACTAAGGCTGACTTTACAAAACAGGGAGCCATAAAGCCCCTTGGAAATGTTGGCCTGATACCTTGCTTACAGAGTTCTCAGCAGCCTCACCAGGTGAGTAAAGAATATCACTTCCTGGCAGGTGCAGGAACCTCAGGATATACTGGGGACCTCATGAAGAGGAATCCACCCAAATCTACAGGTATGGCAGGCATGTCTGATGGCAAGTACTTGGCTTGGCTTCTGGCCTGGAAAGGCTACTAAAAGTTCAACCTAGAGATTCCTTATAAAAGTTCCAGCAAAGCAGATTCTAAAAGATCTATATGATCATTATTCTTGCTGGGTTTATGTAAATAATTACGCCAAGTTTATTAAAATTGGACTTGTTTTGTAAACGAATTAGTCTTGATTTGGCTATCTCTGGAAATGAGGGTTATTTTAGAGAGAAAAATTACGTTTCAATAACCCACCTTTGTGGATGTTAAATCCTAGTTTTGATTGTCCTTAAATGTTTGCTTAAGTTAGACAACTTGAGGTAACTTGAGAGAAATAGCTTTTCTATTTCTACATAATAGCTCATATATAGATAATCTTATTGCTTATTATTCTGTGGGGATAATTACAGGATCCCATGGGCATATGATTATTTAAACAACTAGAAAATGGGATTAATCCCCCAACAACTCTATAACTCAACTATCACCTTGACCAATTCTGTGTGAATAGGATGATGAAAATTTTCCTTAAAAGCTGGAATGTACCCTGCTCCATGAGGTTAACTATGGACTTGTGGAGATAATGGATGACCCCACTTTCTCTATGATTAGATTGGATGATGCACTTGGGGATGCCCTTATCGCTTGAGACAAGTCTTCTCTCACTTAACAGTGATTCCTTTTAATTACGATATTGTTAAGGCTGGACCTCAAAGACAGCTTCTTGATGGTTTTATTCCTTAGTCATATTTGTCCCAGGAACTACCTCTATTAATGTAAAATTACAAGTCGAGACTTTAGCCAAGCACACAGTGACCACCTTTAAGCATGACATGGCTGTCACCAACAAATTCAAAAAGTGGCCCTCTAAAACTGAATAGCCCTTGATATCTTAACTCCAGTTAAAGGATGCCCAACATTGTATGTCTGGCTCCTAATGGACCAACTGACTATGTAGCTCTAACTTGTGTCCATAGCTTCCCCCAGGCTAGGTAGGCCACTGTACTTTGGGTTCCGCCTGAATGCATGGATGCATTATTAAAACCATTACCAATCCAGCCAACCTTCCAAATTTAAAACAATGATGGACACGTTCTGTGTTACACTGGTATGACCACCTAGCATCCATCTTTGTTCCCTCTCTGAGACTACAGGATGTGTGGCACATGGAAGCTCTTAATTATACACGGTCAAAGCCCTAAATGACACTCAAAATGGCACTTCTCTATTAAATACTGAAGTAATACAAATGTAAGAAGCAGTTTTACAAAATAGAGGGGCATTAGATGTTTTAAACTGCTACTCAGGGTGAAACTTGTGCTAACATAAAAACAAAATGCTGCATATACATTCCAGATTACCACAAAAATATATCTGGGTTTCTAAATGAATGAATACTCAAATTGGCACTTTAAATGATCTCTCTTTTCTTTAGTGATTGCTTTAAACTCCTGGCCTGGAGGAAAATTATCAAAGGTCAACTATCAAAGTTCTTTCATTCAGATTTCTCTCTCATTACAATATTAACCTTATTTTGTTATTTCTGGTGTCTCCCTGCCTAGTGTCAAGACTCCTTCACTGCCATAACTTTCAGCTGACAGATGATCTTTTTTACTCATGGAGGTTCATATATGTTGACCACGTTGGATTTAGCTGCCTCCAACTTTTTTAACTCCCCCATATGTTCCCCAACTGACAATACTGACGCATAGGTAGGGACATCTCTATGCCCCTATTCAGCAGGAAGAAGTTACAGAAGATGAGACCTCCTACCTTCAACAACCTTAAAGATTTAAGGGTCAAAATTGTTCAGGGGGGAAATGATGAGGGAGCAGAAGGCTTGCTGAAGACAAAGCATAAGGTGACACCCTGCAATCTCCCCCTCCACCACACTCCTGGGTAGGATATGTGTGACATTCTTCCAGGAACCTCCTAACTATCTTAATGTTAATGCCTTGCAAAGGGGGAAAAACAACCTTAACTTATCTTGTAGGGCCTCTTTAGCATATGAAAGTTCTTTCGAAAACTTCCCTTTTCCCTTAAGTTCCCCAACCCCATAGTATATAATCAATTGCTCCTCACAACCCTAGTGCAGGTCTTTCTGCCCATGGGTCCTGTCCCTGTGCTTTAATAAAACCACCTTTTTGCAAGCATGCGTGTGGGCGCACACACAAACACACACACACAAAACCCAAAAAACAACCGAAAAAAACAACAAAAAACAGAACAAAACAAAACAAAGAAGTAAATGTAGCAAGGTAATGGATACTTACTGGATTGTTTTTTCTGACAGCAGAAATAAATGGAAATGAGAAAGGCAATGATATAATAAAAATGAAATGTAAAAAGGGAAAGAAAAATGTGAATAGAATAGAAATAAAGGCTGAATATACACAGTATTTTGCGATGTACCTTGAAGCCAGTCTACACCTTCTTGCAATCCTTCTCCTTTTATGGCATCACTAGCACTGAAATAAAATCCGTAAGAAACATATCCATTTCATTACTTCATAGAACCATAAGAATAAATAATTACAATTTTGCTATATGGCAAATTAACATAGTCTAGTAACATATATTTGAGCAAAACTGGTAAGCACTGAAACTGAATATACATAAGAAATAAAAGTCTGGGTGCTCAGGAAGAAGACATGAGAAATTTATTCACGATTTATGATAGACATTTGGAAAAGTGTTATCACTAAAATAGTTATTATCCAGCCCCAGTGGCTCAGTAACAATTAATTATTAGAAATGGTTGACCTAGGTTGTAATTTAGCCACACAATGGAGTGACTTTATTTGAAATGGAATTTGATATCTATAAGGTATAAATCTGTAATTATAACTTTGGTAAACTGGTAGAAAAAAAAAAAAATCTCAGATTTCAGTCATACTCTTCTATCTAGTAGCTTCAGGCACTGGACAGGTTATTTAACTCTCTGTCTTTATTTTTAGCATCCATAAAATGATGCTAAATAAACTAAAATAATGAAATGCAGAGGATTTTTATAGTATCAGATAATCTTTTTCAAAGACATAGACTGACAGCAATTAGTATAAATAGATTTTCTGAATGATTAGGGTTCCTTTTAAGTGTGCTAAAGCATGATTTAAAAATGTACCTAATTACCTAAAATAATTAATTTGATTCTAATCAAAACAGAAATTACTTCCAAGGAATTACTTATTAGATTATGAATATGACTTATCATAGAATTATTTTAAAAGAGAAAGACAGAAACCAACAGCATGTGATACATAATTATTCAAAGTAAATTACAGATTATCCATATCAACAGCAAAACATCAGTAACTGAAATGCTTATAAAGATCAATGTATTGACTTTTTATCACACATTTACAGTCCCAAACAAGACTAAGGTCTCAACCAAACAAGTAATAAAATGGAAAAACTTGTCTCCTTTACTGGAGGCGTTAGTGCCATACTAAAAACCCTGCATGTTTTCCTATAATTCCCAAATGTTTGAATTCTACCTTTCCTTTTGAATACATCATCAGATCTGTAACTAGAATAAAAGCCGAAGTCTTTACCGTGTCCTACTGGGACCTGTGTGATAAGGTCTGTGGCTATTTCTCAATGGCCTCCTCTCCTACAATTTCCCCCTAGATCTCTCTGCTCAAGCCAGCCTGGACTTCTTGCTATTCCTGGAACACACGAGGCACATTCTCATCTAAGAGCCTTTTCACTTGGCTGGCCTCTCTGTCTGGAAAGCTATTCCTCCAAACTTTTGCATGAATTTCTCCCTGACTTCAATTAGATTTCAGAGGGAGCACCTCTCATTCTTTCTCTTATTATCCTACTTTACTTTTCTTCATCCTTCCAGATATTTTACATATCTATTTACCTGATTTGTTATCTGTTGCCCTCACAAGAGAGTAAATAAGCAAATATATATATACTTATTGTGCCAGGGACTTTGTCAAAGAACTTTTTTAAAAGAACATTAACAAAATCAGACCCTGAGAATCAGAGTTGGCTATATATTTAGTACAATGATTAAAAATAAACCGCAAAAATTTCCAGGCTGCATTTCTCTATAATCTTTTCTTTATTGTCCAGTAAATTTACTTGGACTGAAGGCAAGAGAGATAGAATGTTTTATCTTTGTATCACTGAGTGTTACCTTTATTTCTAAAACTGGAAAAGAAAAATAAGTGTATTTTCAATTTTATATATGCTTTAATGAACATAGCAAAAAATAAAAAACAAGCTTAACAAATGAAACACTAGAACTTAGTGAGATACTGTTTGAATAGAGTCAAAATTATAGACAACTTTCAAAGAAATACTTGGCATTCTTCTATAAGTTATACAGACAATATAGAACCTGGAAATATAATACTGCACATCCTTATAGCAACAGGACATTACCTTTTCTTTCACTGAGAAGTATTTAGATGTCACAAATGAATAAAGAAATCTGTTAAAATTCAATTGCTGATGTTAAATTTTAAGTAGAAGAGATTTTTTTCCACTTGCAAAATTAATTTGTTTCAAAATTAAAAGTAGGACTACATCTTTTAGTATAAATTAGACCTGTAGTTCTTAATGTGAAAACTCACAATGCTTAATACAAAGCAAAAATTAAAAACTATTCTACTTTTGGTATTACTAATTTAAGTATGATTTAGAGAAATACAAAGGTTCTACCTTAAGATACTTCTCTACCTAAAATCCCTCCTTTCTTTACCAACCAAATATCACAGAACCACAAATTCCAAATCAAGAGACATTTTGTAAAATTGACTCTTCTTCTGATTCCAAAGTAAGGAGGGTTTTACTCAAGATATGTAGTGTTTCATTCCTGGGTAGAGGTGCTGGTGGCCCTGAGTACTGACGCATTTCAAGGGCTTTCTCAAGCTCTCTTCTATGAGATTCCATTTTCAGCACCAAGGTTAGCTCTAAAAGTTCTTTACTGAGCTCTACTATCTCCTTGTTCCATATTCTGTATCTCTTTCTAGAGGCAGTATATTTCTCTGCTTCTTTGTTAGGGCTTTCTCCATAGATACCTTCTTTTAAAAAAGGGAAAACTGGCAAGAGAAGGACATCTTGCAGCAGAGGGAAGTAGGTGGGTGGATAGAAAGAAGCTCAAATTAATATAAGGTAGGCACTAAAATACTATCTAATATATAACTTCTGGTTATCCTTATTGGAATATTTTGGCAGAAAGGCACACCAGAGTTAAATATAACCATAAGAAACTGCTTTCCAAATAAACAATGTATAATAATTTCAGATACTAAATACTGAAGAGTTCAATTGTATTAGTATATCCAAATAAAATTAATATTTACATTTCTATATACTCATATAAACCAGTATTTGTTGTGTACATACTAAGTACCTGGTACTATTATTATTCTAGGGGTTACAGAGTGAACGAAACTGATAAAATCCCAGCTCTCATGGTGCTATGCACTAGTACAGGTAGATCGATTATAAAACAAGCAAAACCCAAAGAGGACATGGCAAGAGAAATATAGAGCAAAGTGTATAAAAAAAAGCAAGAGTCGGGGTAAGATAAAATGATATTTTGAAGGGTTGTCAGGAGAGGTCTCTCTCCTGAAGGAAGTACAATAGCAAGCCAGGAAAATCATTTTGGAGACAGATTCAGACAAAGGGACTAACAACAAGTCCTGAGATGGGATTGTGGTTGGCTGATTCAATGTGCAGAAGAAAATCAGTGTGCTTGAAACTGGGTAAGTGGGCTAAATTATTCTTTTAAAGAGTTGTTTATATTTTTGTATCCTCAGAAAGATTTGAAAAGTTTTTGTTTTTTTTTTAAAGATTTATTTATTGAAGTAATCTCTATACCCAATGTGGGGCTGAAACTCACAACTCTGAGGTCAAGAGCTGCATGCTCTGACTGAGCCAGCCAGGCGCCCCAAGATTGGAAAAAGTTTTAATAATAATATACTCATGAACACCTGCACTGCTACAATTCTATACAACTAAATCCTTAGCTTACATCCTACCATGTTAGATGACTTATACAACGAGCTTAGGAGGGAAGAACTGAAGCTCAGAGATTTTTTTCAGAATGCTAAAATGAAGAGTAAATATAAAACATTACCAAATATGCCATGGTTTATCTTTGATGTTCTCTAAACACAGCAGCTGAGACACTTTTACAGATGTCACTGCATCTCTAAGATCCATTTTGTTTGCAAAGAATAAGATTGGTATTCGGCGGTGCTTAATATCTAAAAGACAAAATAAGACTATCATCACACTTCCAGCTTTTTGGTCATTTCCCCAAATATTTAAAACTGAAATTCACTAAAACTGTTTTCCAACCACTTCTTCTGTATCACATATACGCCAACATTTAAACACATACACTGTCAAGAATGTATCTGAATGATATAAGAATTAACAAAATACTTCTCTTAAGACTATCTACCCTCTGGGACGCCTGGATGGCTCAGTCCATTAAGTGTTTGCCTTCGGCTCAGGTCATGATCCCAGGGTCCTGGGATGGAGTCCCACATCGGGCTCCATGCCCAGCAGGGAGCCTGCTTCTTCCCCTGCCTGCCACTCCCCCTGCTTGTTTCTCTCTCTCTCTGACAAATAAATAAATAAAATCTTAAAAAAAAAAAGAAAAAGAAGACATCCGCCCTCGGGTTGGAGCTTTAAAACAAAGATGAGTGAGGTGGGAGTTGGGGCTCAGTAAGCAGTTACTGAGCAGTACCTATGCAGGGGTCAAATATTTTGTTTTGTTTTTACTGTCAATAGAAAGGAATCAAACTTCAAATGAAAGTAGAAGGGCACCAACCAAGATCTTGATTTTAGATTTTAGTAACAGGTTAGAAGTAACAAACTAGATACATTAACAAGATATTTTACCTTGTTACAACTTTGGAAACATTTTCACTGTTTTGAATAGATAATATACATTTAAATAGTTCAAAATTCAGAGGACACAAAATGGTATACAGTAAAAGAATCTCCCTCCCACCTGTCCCAGGCAATCCACTCGTCCTCTCTAGAAGAGTTAAGCTATATCATCTATTGCTTGGCATCTTTTTAGAAGTATTTGCAAAAACTTATTATATATCATTCTTTATACAAATAATAGACTATCAGTTTTATATCTTTTGCTTTTCACTTAATTTCATATCTTGGAGCCTGTCCCATACCAGTACATAAAGAGCAGTTTCTTCACTATTTTAACAGTTGTAGAATATTCTGCCTTTTAGTACTATGTACCATAATTGTTTTTTTTTTTAAAGATTTTATTTATTTATTTGACAGAGACACAGTGAGAGAGGGAACACAAGCAGGGGGAGTGGGAGAGAGAGAAGCAGGCTTCCCGCCGAGCAGAGAGCCTGATATGGGGCTCGATCCCAGGACCCTAGGATCATGACCTGAGCCGAAGGCAGACGCTTAATGACTGAGCCACCCAGGTGCCCCATGTACCATAATTGTTTAATCAGTACCCAGTGAGATATATTTGTATTGTTGCCAATATTTAAAACTACAAACAATGCTGAAATGAATAAAAGTGTACATAGCAAATTTTGTACATGGGCAGTATGTTTGTAGGAGAAATTTGGGAAGTAAAGTTGCTGGTTAAAGGATATGTAAATTGGTATTTTGATAGTGATTACTGAAAGGCCTTCCTTTAAAAATTATATCAATTTACACTTCAACAACAATATGTAAGAATGAACGTTTCCAGTGCCCTTGCCAAAGTGTTATCAAACCTGTTGATCTTTTTATGATAGTGGATAGGTAAAAAGGTACTATCAGAATATGTTTATTTTGTTTTAAGAAGGGTCAATAATTTTTCTATATATTCAAAAGATGCTTCTATTTCTTTTTTTTACGAACTATTTTATCCTATCCTTTCCCCATTTTTTAAAAGATTTTATGGAGAAAGAGAGGGAAAGCAAAAATAGGGCTTGAGGGGCAGAGGGAGAGGGAGAAGCAGACTCCCCTCTGAGCAGGGAGCCCGACTCAGGGCTCCATCCCAGGATCCTGGGATCATGACCTGAGCCGAAGGCAGATGCTTAACCCACAGAGCCACCCAGGCGCCTCTAAGTTTTTATTTTCTATTTTATTGATTTACAAGAACACCATAAGTAGTATGGAAAAAAGTCCTGTAGCTGTGATATAAACTGCAAATACTTCCCCTTGCTTGTCATTTGCCTTTAACTGCTCATGGTTTGTTTTGTAATTAAAAACTTTTTATATAGTGAAATTCATCAATCTTTTCCTTTAGGATTCTGGGTTCTGTGTTATAGTTGGAAAGACCTCTTCTTGCCCCGGAATTATTTTAAACTTCTCCCATAGTTTCTTCTACTGCTGCATTGGTGTGATTTTTACATTTAAATTAGTCCAGCTAGAATTTACCCTGCAACAGAGAATGTCAGAATGGATAAAAAAGCTACACATAACCATATGATGTTTACAAGAAACACACAGAACATAAGGACACAAACGAGCTGAGAGGAAAAGGATGGAAAAACATGCATATATTTAAATGTAAGAAAGCATGCTAGGCTACACTATTATCAGACAAAGTAGTGTTCAAGATGAAAAAGGGAAAAAGACAGGCATTTGTTGTGCTCTGTGCAGTTTATTATATGTCAGTGCTTTTTTGAAGTTTTTATTTAAATTCCAGTTAGTTAACATAGTGTTATTAGTTTCAGGTGTACAATACAGTGATTCCACACTTTCATACAACACTGTATGCTCATACAACACCCCATGCTCATCACAAGAGCCCTCCTCAATCCCATCACCTATTTAGCCCATCCCTCATCCATCTCCCCTCTGGTAACGATCAGTTTGTTCTTTATAGTTAAGAGTCTGTTTCTTGGTTTGCTTCTCTCCCTCTTTGAAAAAGACAGACATTTAAAAATTATGAAAGTGTCACTCACTCAAGAAGACAAAACAATTTTAACTGTATATGCATCTAATAAATGAACACTATCACCTGACATTTATAGACCCTTCATCCAACAACAGCAAAATACGTATTTTACTTAACGGCAGATGGAACATTCACCAAGCCAGACCATATATGATGACCCAATATTTCTAAGGATGAAATCATCCAGAATATGTTATTCCATCAAATGGAATTTAGAAATCAATAACAAAAAGAAACCTAGAAAATTCCCATATATTTGGGAAATTAAATAATACACTACTAAATTATCTAAGGATCAAAAAAGAACTCACAGGTAAGTTAGAAAATACTCCAAACTAAATAATAAAGGAAACAAACATATCAAAATTTGTGACATGTAACTAAATCCTTAGAGAATATGTATTGCTTTAAATGCTCATATTAGAAAAGGTGTAAAATCAATGATTTCCACTTCCATCTGAAAAAGGCAATAGACAATGAAATACAATGTAAGTATAGAAAATGCATAATAAACCAAAGAACAGAAATTAACAAAAATTTTTAAAAAACAAACCAACAGAAGAAATTAACAAAGCCAGAGTTCTTAAAAAGTTAATAAAACCAATAAACTCTTTAAAAAATTGAGCAAGAAAAAATGGAGGAAACATAAATTATCAATATCAGAAATGAAGGAAGATATACAGATCTTATAGACATTAAAAGGATAGCGAGAGGATATTATAAATAGTTTTATGTCAGTAAACTTGACAACATAAATTTTAAAATCTGGTCAAAAATTACCAAAAGTGACCCAAGGAAAAATACAAAACTTTAATAGCCTTATATCATTTAATGAAATCTAACTCCTGATTCACAGTCCCTCTTACTCCCCCATACTCCCACACACATATAAAATCCCAACCCCGATGGCTTCATTCATATATTCTATCTAACATTTAAGGATGAAATAATACCAATTCTATCTAATCCAAAAAATAAAAAGAGAAAAAGTAAATATTTTCCAACTCATTTTATAAGGCCTCTATCACCCTGATGACTAAAGCATTTTAAGAGAGTTACAAACCAAAAACCTTATAAGCACAAAAACAAAAATTTTTAATAAAATGTTAGCAAATCCAACTCAATGATATATCAAAAGGTTAATATTCAATGGCCAAATGAGATCTAACCCAGGAATGTAAACTTGCTTTAATATATGTGAATACAGTATAATATTATCATTGTAATAGATGTAGAAAAAGCATTTGGTAAATTTTAACACTAGGTTATAATGGAACCTATTGAAAAACTAGGAATAACAGAAAATTTCCTTGACCCAATAAAGATATAAGCAAACCCTAGTGAGCATCATAATTAGTGGTAAAATAGTAAATGTAAAGAATGGAAAAAGATACAGAAACAACCTAAGTATCTATCAGTGATGAATGATAATGATAGTGAATAACATGGGCTTGAATTGTGCAGGTCCACTTATATGTGCCTTTTTTTCAGTAAGTATATTGAAGAATATTTTAGAGATTTGCAACAATTTGAAAAATCCTGTAAACAAATTATGAAGCTTAGAAACACTGAAGGAAAATTAAGAAAAAGGTATCTCATAAGTGCATAAAATATATATAGAAATGAGATGATTTTATCACTTAGTACCATAAAAGATATACAAATCTATTATAAAAAGTTAAAATTTATTAATTCTTATGCACATACAGACCAAATATGGCAGCATTCACAGTTGAGAGAAATGCAAACAAGTGTAAAGATGCAGTATTAAATCATAACTGCATAAAATTAACTGTGGTAATACTGTACCGCTGTAATAATTTCATTGCCACCTCCTGTAGCTATTGCAGTGACCTCAAGTGTGGAAGTATCTGCTTAAAATGCTATGTGATACTAATCATCTCTATGTGAGCAGTTCCTTTCTCTAGTAAATTGTGTGTATCACAAAAAGCTGTCACAGTTCTCACATACTTTTTCATCTTATTTTGTGTATACTGTAAATCCTGAATTACACCATGGGACCCATACAAAGTGCCACCAGTCATGCTGGAAATGCTCCCAAGAACCAGAGAAAAGTCATGACATTACAAGAAAAAGTTGAATTGTTTGATATGTACCACAGATTGAGGTCTGCAGCTCTGGATGCCCACCATTTCAAGATAAATAAAGCCAGTATAAGGGCCATTGTGAAAAAAGAAAAGGAAATTCATGAAGCCATTGTTGTAGTTACACCAGCAGGCGTGAAAATCTTGCACTTTTCATGAAATACCTTTTTACCTTGTATTGAAAATGTAGCTTTTATGTGGGTGCAGAATTGCTGTAAGA